AAAAAAAAAAAAAAAAAAAAAAAAAAAAAAAAAAAAAAAAAAAAAAAGCTAGAGGGTTGAAATTAGTGCACGTTTGACGTGTTTTTATTTGCTTCCAAGCTACCCAACGTTACGAGAAATTTAATGTAGGAAGGAATGGAGGGAAGGAGGTGGGGCTACAAGTATCCCCTTTACGGTACAGTGCGCGACGCGATGTTTACGCGCGAATGTGGTACGAGTCTTGTTTTTTTTTCTTTTTTCTTTTTTTTTTTCATTGGGGAGGAAAGAGCTAATGCTTAGAAAAGTCCCGAGTCGAGGGGGAGCTTTTGTCTATGCGCTACTGTGCACTTGAAATGCCATGCGAGTGACAATGTGTGCACATGGGCATATAAGTAGGTACGCGTGAAGCGCCAGGTCTCTGCATGAGGCTGGTGTGTTGAGTGATAGGCTTCGGGGGCGAGTTTAGGAGTACCAGTGCAAGGGAGTTTTTCGTTTCTTTTCAAGAGGCTCCATGTTTTTTTAATCCTATATTCGTTGAAACGCACAAGCATGAAGATGCACCTAAATTTTTCATTACCCTTGCCATCGAAAAATCACAGAATAATATTTCCATCATCTCTGAATGACTTTTTAATCGATCGTATGTCGTTAATTGTTCTGTCAACCTATAGATAAGAAAATTTTTCGAGGTAAAAGCCGATTAAAACCATTACAGATTTATTACACTCGAAGAGAAAAAGCTCTCCTCGCCACATTTTGCTGCGGCACTATTTTTTTTTTTTTCTCATCCCTCTCTTCCACTACTATTTAACTCCCACTGACTACTACTTCTACGGCAATTCCGCCCACATCGCGTGCTGAATCTCCTCTCCGAAACGCATAATTCATGAAATTCCAGCGACCCCGTAAAGATTTCCACCTGAATTTTTACTTTTCCTCATTCATTTTTTTTTTTTGTTCCCTATTATTTTCAATGCCTCCTTCCTTCCTATTCTCCGGCTGTTTGCCCATAAAACTTTCAAGCTACTGCAAGTTCAAAAACTTTTTTACTGCTAATGGAATGACACAGATAAAATAAGGGTCCTCACAGTACCGTATCCGTGCAATTGTCTATTTTCATTTTTTAGTACACAAGCAAAAAAAGATGCCCCATTAATTGCATTTTTTATTTTCAACGCTTCGCTATGAAAATTTCACACCGCAACATTTAGTAAAAATTCGGTAAAGGTGGATTTTACAAAAATAACGCACTTAATACCTTAAGCCTTCCGAAGTTACAGCATTCGAGAGGGCGAAAACTATGAAATCACTGTGACAATGCAAGTAAACAACCTAGTAACAGCACATCTTTTTTCCCCTTCTTTTTGACCTATAATTTAAGTTCCTTTTGTGTACCATCCTCCAAAGTGTCCTATTATTCGATAAATACGCGCGTTCCCATTAATAAAAGCAACCCATATTATCGAACGGATACAGTAACAATACAATAATGAAAAATTGCACCGCAGACAATACGCGTACCCACATACGGAAGGAAACCAATGACTCATTGTTCAATTTGATATTCGAGTTTATCAAAGCGTGTAGCGCTCGCAAGTGCATCCGTTTGCATCAACTCGCCCAAAAAGGAGTTACAATCCCGCGAACGATGCACACGTGGCTGCTCGCGATATCAATTTCAGCGTCAGCTCGATTCTTACAAATTTTCCGTAAATTCGACGACAACCAAGTAATAACAACACTTTTAATTATTGTTTTCACTAGCGGCGAACATACACGGAGCTGTATTTGCTCTACATTGTATCAATACCAGAATTTATACGACGTACCGTAGGCGTGGTGGAATATTTTGTTTTGCTTGCAAAAAATTAATTAAACTCCGTGTAGCTCACGAACATTTTTTTTTTTTTTTTCACTACACTCGTACACAAAACAGTGAGCACTAATTAAATGGGAGACATAACAGACGGAACTCATCAGTTTGGAAGCAAATGGCACAATTGTACGCATCAAGTTTAGTCGAAAAAAAAAAAAAAATACTCTTGTGGTATATTTTATATGACGAAAATAAATCAGACGCCTATCTTGTGTGGACCAACCTCACTGCTTGTACTTCAACCAACCTATATTCCAGAATCACAATATCACGGGAGACCCTCGAGGGATCGAGACAAGATTCACTTGTACATAATAAATGAACGCCGCGATCAATGACCGAAAAGTGGCCATTGGTACTATGGGGCTCCAATGGTTATGCAGTTACGTGGATAACACTTAATTATCCCTTGTTACGGGTAACAATTGCTACCAGCAATTTTATGAGCAACGCGATTACACTAAATGTAAAAACATTCTCTATCATCGACTTTTATTGACCATTTGCGATATAGCCATTAGTCCAGTCACGATGTAGTTAATAAATTTCTCATCACCTACACAGATTTATGATCGTCGTACAGGTGCCTCGTTGTCCCAAGATATACAGTCGATAAAGAAATAAAATTTGAAAAAAGGCAAACTACCGCCACTGTGTATAGGTGTGATGCCCACTCGGTGCTGCTGCTGTAAAAGCTAAAATGTAAAATGTTGCTTTTTATGTCTCATGTGGTGGCACTAGCCATTTTCTGAACCCTTATTCGTTTGCCGCTAATGTTCCTACCTGTCCTTCAATAACAAAGGACGCTTTGGTTGATAAAAGAAAGGAAGAATGGTAGGAGAATTTTACGGTGCGACCCGACCGGAAGGCATCCAAAAATCGATGCCCATCTATTTCCAAACCGACTAACGCGATTGTACAACACCTCACTGCCCAGAAGAAGAATAAGTTCAGGTAAATGGCAGGTGGGTAGACGGGCAGGGTCAGGAGGTGCGATTATCGGAGATTAAATTTAGCACGAGCATCGGCAGTGCCACCGGCGTCCGGCCGATAATGTTTGTTCGCTGTACCGCCTGCAGCCATTACGACGACGATTATTCGCACGAGGGAGCTGCTACTCTGTCCACGCTTGTTACAGCCAGTTGATCGAAAAAATGTGAGATCGACCCTCAGTGTTGACACATGTGGGGCTGATTTCTCAATTTTTTGTACCTTGCGTGAATTAAAAGTATCCGATTAATTTAAAATTTAAAGGGTTACTACTTTTTTTTTTTCACCACGAGTGAGCACTACAAAAATGTGGTGCACGAGAGAAATTTCAATAACAACGACAGCATCGTCGTTAGAGTTGTGCAGTTGTAGGACGTGTATAATAACCAGTAAGTTCGTGTGTTTTTTCATGGAAAAAAAAAAAAAAATTATCTCTCGTGGTTTGTACACATTGCGCGAGATACTTGGAAAAACCGCAGGTACGCAAATGAATAATACAGCAGCAACAACTTTGGCAACAAGCGCACTTGCTGGTGGAAAAAAAAAATTTTATTTTTTCTTTTCAGGAAAACAAACGTGAAACTTTACCATTCGAGCAGTGCTCTACAGCGTGCGTTCATTATTCTTACAAATAATTGTTACAGTCCCGTGTCATTAAGAAAATCCCTTTTCAGGACTATCATTCGTGCGTGAAAAATTACAAAAACTTCATCCTTCTCGTTCTCGTAGCAGCACAAATACAAGCAGGAAGAGAAGAGATGAAGGTACAAAATAAACAAGCTTCCCTTCTAAAAGAAACTTCAACATTCCCGTCTCACTAGATGAGCGGGAACCAGGAGAAGGAGGCGACGAAGAAAAAGTAACAGCGAAAAAAAAGAAATACCGGGAGGTAAAAAAAGGCATCGAGAAAGAAGCAAGACCAAGAGAGATAGAGAGAGAGACAGAAAAAGATGTATAGAAGTACAGAGCCACTCAAAATATTCGTCCCGAAGCAGATTCTCGTTAGTCGTACAGGTGAGGGAGGAAGAGAGCCACGTGCTATACGTATGTGTACTGGCTGTTGTAGGTATATACTTTGGCCTTCCTACTCCACGGCTATCTTTTACTACTCTCCCTCGGCCACCTACGAGCACCAACTCGGTACACCTACACACACGTGAAGTAGGTCGCATGAAAATAGTACCACCTACTGCACGCTGACCCTCTCCCCATACACATTCGCTCTTTTCACAGAACCACACTTATAGACTTGTGTACACGAGGACTCACCATAATATCTTTCAAACACACTTTGATTTCCTCTACACTTGACATCATCGCATTCACCAGCGCACGCATTTATTCTCTAATTGGAGAGACGCGAGGACGAGTGAAAAAAAAATAAAACCCTCTAAAAATCATTTCTCTTGCTCCAAGGAAAAAGGGGGTGGTGTGACGATGGCTCACTCACCACTTTTGCCGGTCGGTGTGAGGGCACTGGGCAGCCTACTCGTGGGCTCGGGCGCCGGGTATATGGGGTCGCAACACTCGCGCTCCGGGAACTCACTGGCCCGGCATTGGCCCACAAAGCCCGTCCACGTGGCCAACATCAAGTACAGGAGCACCACCAACAGCAGCACCGGTGGCGTCCGGTATCCGCTGTTGCAGCCGATCCCCATATTTGCTCTTCTCGCGGAGTCTCGATCAACACATCAAAAGACTCCGGCTGCTGCCCCTGTGCTCGTAGCTTGTATACCTTGGCATGACGTGCATGTCCTTTCGATTTGGATATCAATCGCCTCGCGGTGCTTCTCTGGTCCCCTTGAGCCTCGACATATCCTGTCCCCACTTGAGTGAATTTTATAATTCAAGGCTCGTGGTCCGACACCAAATTCATCGGCTCGTATGTTTTCAGAGAAGGAAAAGAGTAAAAAGACACGACGGATGGCTCGGCAAACACAAACACTGGCACTCCCATGTTGAAATTGAAAAAACAAAGACACGTTGATCCTCGGATTTTGTACCGCACAATAAAACGGACACACGCGTGCACTTAACAAACAACACGTGCGTGGCGGTGGACGCGAGCGACTCGCACGTCGCGCCAAAGCGAGAAACGTCGGCAGACTGGGGCGCTTCACCTTTCGAGCTTTGGCGCGCTCTACCTCCACCACTGGATGCGTGTGTAGGGGGTGCCCGCATCGCCCCCTACCTGCGAGCTTTGGTACCTATACCCCTCTGGCTCTTTCAACCCCCCACTTGGGGGTGGGGCTGGTAGTTGTACGGCAGGTGTATCCTTCGATCTTCCTCTCTTGCTATGGCCCGCTCTGACCTCGTTCCTTTCTCGTCGGTCGTTCTACTGCCGCTATGCCCACTGCAGTGGGCTGTAGGGCACGTATACGCCAGGTGTACGTGTTGACCTTTCGGGCGCGTGTGCCACTCTTTTCTCTCTACCAGCGTTCATTTTCTTCTGGTTTTATTTTCTCTTTTTCAGATATTTTTTTGTTGAGTTCACGATTAGTACAGTACCGGTCGACCAGTGATGGAAGCAATAAGATGTCCTATACGAACGCATACGTCAATTCGTGCCGTATAGCCACAAAAATATAATACACCTTTTATGCATGTCCTGTATAGTCATCTGGCTGGCTGTGACTTTATCACGCGTTTATTGTTTATTATAATTCAAGCCGCTTAAGAAACTGCCGCAGAACTTGGGAAGAGCAGCGGTTGCGTAGGTACTCCGCCGCAGCCGCTGGTGCACAACATTCAGTGAATTTGGCCTAATTGCACTTGTGTTTTCTCCCTCCCTTTCATTACCACCCAAGGACTCGTTGTTAGTCTAGTAGGGGGGAGGGTCTTTTGGAATTTATTCTTTGAAGCAGCTTATCGCGTGTAAGCTCGTGGAGAGCTGGGTTGCGCAAAATTTATTGTGCTGGGCTGGTCCACCCTAGTTGTTTGACAAACTATTAAAAAAGACTTGTGAAAAGTGAAAAAAATTACGCTCTACTGTTGGCGTCGAAACCAAATTCTTCCTTCGTCTTTCTGTTCCTGGAGTTGAAGGAACATTTTTCACTCTCAGCCACGTGTTAACGTCATGGTATCTTATTTTCTTCCAAATATTATATTTCTCCAAAAGTTGCTCTTTTTTCTTTAAGAGTTTAATTATGAAGGAACAAAGAGCCCCACCCCGATATCTGGAGAATCGGGGAAAAACATCATCGCAAACACGAGACTCTGCAAATTTTTCTGTTCCCCCCATTTATACGTAAAAGCACTAATCAAATAATCAGAGACGTAGTATATGCATACACCCTCACGTACAAACATGTATACAACATATCCATTCTCTTCTCCAAAGTGTCCATCAGACCTCCATTGACCTCCTCCTCCTCCTCCTTTGTACTTTGTACATCCAATGAGATCAACGACGGGTCTGCTACCGAACGGACCACTTCAAAGGGGAACGCAGCAGCTGAAGGCTAACTCAGAGTTCCACTACTAGACTCCTGTCCCAATGTAAAGCTGGTGATTGTTTGCAAGCGCGGCTCCGGTAGCGAATGGTTAGCTTTGAGGAATCACTGTAGTTTTACGATGACGCGCCTATACATCCATTCCATTGATATGACTCCATAAAATAGTTTAAATAAAATATCAAGGAATAAAAATAACATTACACGCTATCAACAGAAACGAGACTGGGTGGGAGATTATATAAATATGAGGGCAATGGTTTTAAGTGGTATTGGTCAGCGTCTGGTCAGACATTCAACTTACTCTACATTATTGAACCTTTTAGAAGTTATAATCTATTAAATTAAAGATAAAAACTCTTTTTCTATGCGTAGGTGTATTATATATGCGTTACGCGTCAATTTCTATCCCCGTTTCTCTTCACGAGAGTGCAGTGACATGACAAGTGAAAGCGCAAATTAGGAGAAGAGAGTAAATCTTCAAAGTCCGTGTGATTTGACAAAGTAACTCGGGTCAAGTACATTATAATTCTGCCGTGATTATTTGTTCAAATTACGACTGTACTATGTCTACTAACGACTACGAGCAACGATGAACCTCAATCTAGTAACCAAGTTTTAGTACAGGTATCGTCACACACTAAATTATATTTCGTGTAACATGTAAACTCGTAGTTCACTGTACTAAGAGGTTACACGAACCCTTTATTAAAATGTACGGTGTACAATTTCACATTTGTCATGCCACTACTACGAATACGACAGCTTGATTAGAAGTTCATCGAGCGAAGCAAATCAAATCTCCAGAGGGGGGGTTCGAAAAAAATTAAATCAACGGTAGAGCCGTGTGATTTGTGGGTGAAAAAACTTTCCTTCATTTCGGTATCTTTGGTCCCGTTCATACGTGGTTTCTCAGAAAATTTTTTGTCCACGGAACTACTACTTTAAAAAATAGATTAGAATTATTTCATGGTCTCATCAAAACTTATAATGGCTCGGTAGATTCGTTGCAAAAGGTGTGAAACATTAGAAAGATAGAAATAAAATATTTTCCCAAAAATTCGTCAGTTATGTAAAATGCTGTAACAAGTCGATTCATTACACGTACATACATTTATTTTTTTAATCCAACGTAACAGAGATTAACAAAATCACTATCCTATTGGGATATCTGATAAAATAACAAATTAAATAAGAGTTATGTTATGAACATTAATATATTGTGCACAGAGTGGATAAATATGTTTAAAAACAACTATAGAAACACATAAGAATGGATAAGCATTTAAATTTCTAGCCCAAAAGTTGTTGGACACCTTGACACCCGTTTGTAACGCACATACAAGGGTAGTCGTGGAAAATAACGCTGGAAGATTATCGTAAGGGATGAAAAATAAAAATCCCACTCTCCGGCCTAGCTCCCGGGCTTAATTCAAGTAGTCACTCCCGCCTCGCGCGCATTAAATAGTCTTCGCAGGTGAGAGGAAATTGCAGCCAACGCGACCTTGATCTTGCGTCGTCTCTTGGAGGGCGACAAAAAGCCATTACCTCGGCGGGGAAAATTCACGACGGAAATTAAAGATTCAGCGAGCCGCTCCGGTAATTTACGGCGCAGCTGTCTATCGGAGTTTTTCCCCCTGCCAATGTATACCACTCCCTTTTCTTTTCTGTCGCGATTTCGAGGGGAGTTGGATTCATCGGCTCAGGCGGAGATTATTACTCGGTACAGTTGGTGTCACGACCCCACTCTGGAAGTCCATTTCACGAAAATTTAAGGGTGAGTCCATCAGGGAGGGTCTTATTGAATGAAAAACCTATTATTTTCCGGGCCCGCTTGGTTGTTCGCATACTTGACTCTTTTTATTAGTAGCTGAGTTTTTCCGGATCCCTTTTCCTTGAAATCCAAACAAAGGGCTCATGATAATCATGACCATCAAGCGTAAGTTTTTTAATACGCATACCTACGAATGAAATTTTAATATGCCGAAAAAGCACTCAAAGAGTGAATTGACTAGTATCCAATAAATGCTTTGAAATTCTCCAAAGCAACTTCATTAAGACTGTATAGCTTTCACGATAAATGATCGATGTATCGGGTACCAAGAGTTTTGTGTATTCATCAATAAAAGGTAGAAGGTAAGCGACCGTCGAGTTACGAAAGTACGAACAATGCGATTTGCGTGTTGGTATAATTAATATTGAATAATTTATACCTCGAACTCTTGGCATTCATATTATTTTATTATTGGTTTCAGTTGTACCGTTAAAAGTATTTCCACGTAACACATCATTCTGTTGGTTTTACTTATTCACTATGAAACTAGTAATTGTGTCAAGTAGCTACGCTATTATCTTGACATATTTTGCGAGCTAAAGTAAGTGTTTAACAAAAGTTTAAATAAACAGAAATTGTTCAAAAGTCGATTTAAAAGTCATTACGCGCGTTGTGCTCCAGTTCTCCGCAGCACCAGAAAACACAAAGTAGATTTTCACGAGGATTTCATGAAGGGGCGCGCGGCTACACTTATACACATCTTGTCGGAAAAACGAAACGTTTTCTGTGGGCCACGGAATTAGAGCTGCGCCGAAAAATGTATTATTAAACTTTTGGCGATAAAACAGCCGAGCACGTATTTTTGAGATTAAAAAGATTACGTTGAAAAAAAAAAAAAAAAGCGAGAGGATCTGGGGAATTTAATTTAATCCAGTTACTGCGTACGTATACGGTCCTTGAAATTTCTCCGCCCCAAAGCACCACAAATCAAAATAAAGAAAACTATTATACTTATTGTTTTATGTTGCGACGAAGCCAAACTTGGCGCGTATCCGCAGTGCAATTAACAGTAACACCATGTGGGCAAAAAAAGGAGGAGAGAAGCAGAAAAGAAAAAACACCCGAGGAACCATTGCTGGCACCACCGAACTGCAGCTAGTGGGGCCGGAATTCCCGAGTCTTGACAAACAACGTGTTTAATTTGCACAAAAAAGTGACCACCAGCGGATGCATAAACGCACGGCGGTCCGGTTTCCACATATCCGCAGCGCATTACCAGCTCAGGTGCGAACAAATTCCGCCCAACGTCTTTAGGACATTCCCAGAAATTGTGCACTGCTGGTATAATTGCACCCCTGCCCGTGGTATTAGCCGTTCGCGACCTCCATTCGCGCGAACTTTCCCTCGAGTCGATGGGCGTGGTGGTTTTATAACCTACCTACATATTTTCATAATGTGAATTGTAAATTTGCATTATGGCGTGAATAGACACTTATTTATGGTAAATCCCTAGAAATTTCTACCTCATTTTTAAGAGTGCTGAGCGCAAAGCTTGAATGTAAAATTAAAAAACCATAGCGTGAAAAGAGGAGTATTTAAACAATTGCAGATTGGTGCAGCATAAAAGACCGGGAGGTTCGTTAGGAAACATTTTCATAAAATCCGGGGGTGCGTACGAGGTATTATATATATATATACACATTCGTATACAATGTAGCCCTGCAGCAGCGAGAGCGGGTCGGATAACGAATTTTCGCCGCGCGGCTGAAAAGCAAAAAGTAAAGGGAAGCGGGAAAAAAAAAATTACCCGCAGAGCATGAGCCAACCGCTAGAGTGCATGAGAGCGCGAGGGAGAGAAATA